GTGGCGGGGTTGGATGAACCCCGCGGCGGGGGTCCGGGGTCCGCAGCCTAACACCGGCTTTGCCCCCGGGGTTCCCCGCTCGACAACGCTGGCCACAGGAAGTGGTATGTCGTATCCAACCGCCGTCTCTCTGGGTCCCACAAGCTTCCTCACACTATACGATTCGGACTCTCGTGAGAAAACATAAGCTAACCAGGCCGCTGAATCACTYCTCATTTCTTCTCCTACTCTCGGTCAGCATCACTCTACTCCCTCCGATACACCCCATCTCCCGACGCTACTAACCCTTCTGATAACTCTCGCACTCAGGTCCAGTATGGTCGAATAGGTTCAGTAACCAGGCTCACTCATCCGTCGCTCTGGCGCTCTCCTCTACCTCCTACGCCTGGACTGCTACTCCTATCCTGGGAAAGTGGGCGTCTATAACGTCAATCTCCTCCTCGTCAACCTCCCTCTCTGGGTCGACCCAGTCTGGCTCCCACAGCTCCTCATCGTCTTCTCGCTCCCAACCCTCGTCGTCAAACTCGTCCTCGACGCGGTATGGCGCCTGTCCTATGGCCTGGTAGTATTCCGTCAGCTGATGGTCGTATATCAGGGGTCGCCCGACGTCCTCACTCCACCAGGTTCCCCAGTCGTCTGAGAAGAGCCGCCCGATGCAAGTCACGTACTCGGGGCCTGCTCGGAGCTCACGGTCTAGCCAATCCCAAACGCACGAAGACTGGGGCCACTCATCGTCTATCGAGCGGATCAGCTCTATACGCTGGACCCTCTCGTCTCCCCAACGAGGCCCACCAGTCGCGAGCGAATAATAGATATAGTCCAGGTCGGTAGGTCTTCTCACCAGGATCTTGAGATCCTGATAAGCCAGGTATCTCTCGACCACACCACCAATACCTCCAAAAACGCTCTCCACTACGAACGTCGGAACTATCGCCCGCAGACTCCTAACGCTGTACGGGAAAAACTCGTCCCGTGCTATTACGAGCTCGCCCGTGATATCAAGAGGAGGGCGTCCGTGAAATAGGGTCAACGGGTCGCTCGCGTCCTCGGCTCGGAAAGCAGCCACCTCTTCCCCTAGGTAGCGTAATGCTCTGCTAACTGTGTCACTAGTCCCTGTCGTCGCGAGGCCCACCACGGCCTCTTTGGCCGCACCCGGTCCCAAATACAAGTAGGCTCTCACTACGCCCACTCCTTGCCCCGGTCGGTGCTCTCTATACGTCCAAAGTTACACGTCCTCGGACAGGATTATGGACCTCCACGCAAACTGGCCGTCAGCGTGTCGAATGCTGCGTCCGGGGATCGTGAGCTCGACCAGATCCCCCTCTATGAGTTCAGGGGGGTCTAAGTCCCAGTCGATGATAGCCCCATAGACCCCTACTTGCACCCGCGGCCACATTCAACTAGCAGCTAGAGAGAGCGCGGCAAGCGGAAGGTGTAGATTAATGACTGAAATTTCGCGTCGCTTTCCTCACGCCTTCGAGGACAAGCTAGTAGGTTCACCTGAAACCAGGTTACAACAACGTCTCTCTCCCTTCTCCTTCTAGGGAATTCTCTTGTATTTTTCAATTATAAATTAAAAAAAATGTATTTAGTTAAGTTAAATTTTCTTTCTTAGTTCATATATATATTAAGGATCAATACTTAAATAAGCCCACCGAGTTTGATGCTTTTTAGGGGTAGAAATAAAATTTCGGGATTTTTACTAAAATTTCGGCAGCGTTTCGCCTCCCCCCGTTAAGATGGGGTTCGGGACTGTTGTCCCTAGACAAATGCTACCTACCCAGAACTAAAGCCAAATGA